AAAAAAAAAAAAAGCCAAAAGAAAATGAAGATGAAAAGAAGGAAAACAAAATGATACTAAACCTAAAAATGGAAAAGAAATTGATTAAGGAAAGAGGAAATGAAAAGTGCTGCAACTACCCACAAGGAGATCTAATAAGCATATTGTACCAGTAGTAAAGTCACCATATCAAGCTACGTATGTGAGAAAGGTCAAAATCAGTGAGAAGAAAGCATTTTATAAAATTTGTACTGGTTGATGTCGCAATGAGGGTGTGTTCATAACCATATCCTTAAAAACTTTGTTCTCATTATCTTAAAAAAAAATGCCTCCTCTTCTTAATATAAAAGTTAGATAATTAATTTTTTCATATTAAAAAATGATTTAAATCAATTATTTATAATAAGTAAATGTTGTTTTTCCTAAGCTACCCTTATTAATTATGTACATTTAAATTACCTCTTGATAATAACTACTTAACATGTGTAACCAATGTAAGAATTACTTGACAGCAAGAATTGGAAAGGAGGATCAATACAAAAATATTTAGTTAAAAAGACCATAAAAATTAAAATTATTTACAAGGGCCAAATGTTAAAATATAAATTTTAAAATACCGAATTAACCCAGTCCACTTCATTCCCTCTGCCTCTGCTCTTGTTTTCATTTAAGGGGGAAAGAAGGTCCTAAACCGAGCAACTTGATTTATAAAATGTTAGTTTAAGGATTAAAGAAATTTTAATTTAATTCTTATAAAATGTTAACTTCCACGTAACTTCCATTTGATTTAAGGATTAATTTTGTTGGTTGCGTTTTTGTCTCTTTTGTCGAAGGAGGGATGGTCTGTGATTTGAGGAGCTCCATCGTTAGGGGCCAAGTATTCAAAACTAACGAGTAGCATTTTTCTCAAACAAATTATGGAGTTTTGTTTGAAGAAGCTACCGAACACCAAGATATTTGCATGATGGACTGCTCAGATCAGTTCTGTGCAGCGTCGGGTGGGAAAGTTAGCAGGGCGAAATCTTCCTTATTCTTCTCTCCCAAAGTGGCTGCTTCAATGGGGGAAAATTGAGGGACATCACAGGAATGAAAATTTCTTCTGAAATTGGGAGATATCTTGGCTTCCCTCTTACTGAAAAAAGGAAGAACATAGAAAATTTTTAGTATATTGTGGATAGAGTCAAATCTAAACTGTCTTCTTGGAAAGCTGATTGTCTTTCAACAACAGGGAGGATCACCTTAGCTAAATCAGTTTTGAATACTATTCCTTTCTATCCAATGCAAGTTGCCAAGATTCCTGCTACTATTTGTAGTGATATAGAAGCTATACAGCGCAACTTCATTTGGGAAGCACTCAGGAGCACAGAAAATTTCATCCAATAAGTTGGGAGCAAATCGTTCTGCCGAGGAACTATAGAGGACTTGGATTTAAAAGGTTGTCCCTTATGAATAGAGCCTTCAGAGCAAAGTTGGCTTGGAACTTGGTGGCAGGATCGAACAGCTTGTGGGCTCAAGTTCTACAGCATAAATATATGATGAGAAGTGAGGATAATCTCCTAAATGTGCAGCAAGGAGACTCCAAACTTTGGAAGTTTATCTGTCAACAAAAAGACATTATTGATCAAGGTACCAGATGGCAAATTCGAAATGGTCAATTTGTAAACTTTTTTAGCCACTGTTGGCTCTTTAAGGAAAGGAAAATTAAAGATCTTTGCCTTAGAGAGCTATTACCGGAAGAGGAAAGTAGCATAGTTGCTAATTGGGTTTCTCATGGTGCTTGGGATTTTCCCCGACTAGCCAACATTGTTAATAGAGAGGTGATGCAGCAACTAATTGCAACTCTTCCACCTATCTTAGAAGCTGGGAAAGATGTCATGTTATGGAATGCTCACTCTCATGGTAACTTCACTATTAAAAGTACTTATTGTATGATACAGCAGCCTCCAACCAACCTCCATAGCCCAGTTTATAAGGCTATTTGGAAATCGAAAGGAGCTGAAAGAATCAAAGTATTCTTATGGATTTCTTTTCATAATAGACTTCCTACAAATTAGTGGAGAAGTAGATGGTCTCAACCCTCACCTATGTGCTCCTTTTCTCACTCTGAAGTAGAAGATGTGATGCATATCCTTAGAGATTGCATTTATGCTAGACAATTGTGGCTGAATCTTTTAAATCAAACTTTCATTCATAATTCTTTGCTGCCTCTAGTAGAGACTGGTTTGCTATGAACCTCAAAAGAGAACTTGGTCTAAATTCCTCGCCTCCTTGGAATTTGTTGTGGGGAGTTGCTATCTGGCACTTATGGAAATGGAGGAACAGATTTATTTTTGAAGCTAACTTCACAAAACCAGAAAACCCAGCTGCTGTTATTGCAAATTGTTGGAAGAGTTTCGTGCAGTGTAATGACATATCTTGTACACAATCCCTCCTCAACGGGTTTATACAAGGTGGCTACCCCCTCAACTTGGTTGGTTGAAACTGAATGTAGATGGTGCTGTCTCATCATCAAGAACCAAAGCTGGCTGTGGTGGAGTTATCTGGGATCATGATGGATCTTGGATTGTGGGTTTCATGCAAACTCTAGGTATCTATGATATTCTTGCTGCGGAAGAATGGGCCATGTTAAGAGGTTTGAAATTGGCTGGGAATTTGGTTTCAGAAAAATCATTTTAGAATCAGATTCGAAAATATTGGTGGAAAAGGTGCAAACCAAAGATGCACTCAATAGTAGCAGCCTTCCTCTCTCTCAAATCTGGAACATGCTCAATTATACGTGGGATGTGCAGGTGACTCACGTTTTTAGGGAACAAAACCAGCTAGCTGATGCACTTGCTAAGCAAGGGCTTTCTTTTAATTCAATTTTAGATTCTTGTCCTAGTCATTTAGGAACTTTGTTGTCCAATGATTGTATGGGATTTAATCCCCCCTGAGTTTTTAATTTAATTTTAGGCTCAGCCCTCGTTTCTACCAAAAAAAAAATTATGGAGTTTTGTGAGCAAATGGATTAAACTATATCATGTTTGATTTTGCAGGTTAAGAAGAATCATTTTTTGGGTGCCTATTTTGGGGCATGTTGAAGGGGGCACCCGATGTAAAAATATGGTTGCAGACTAACAAAGTAATCATACATGAATCAAATAACTTGTGTGGAGTGGGATGTAGGCTAGTTAAAAAAAAAAAAAAGAAGAAGAAGAAGAAGAAAAACTCACTAATTGTCAAGTAATTGAAATATCATATGAGAGAATATAGAAGGATTAGTTATAGGTAATTTAGTCTTTCGAAAATTATATTTTAATATATGACCTTTTAAAATAATTACAATTTTTATAATCCTCAGTCCTAAATATTTTTTCTATTGGCCCTTTGTTCTAATTCTCCCTTATTTTAGGGTCTACAAATGTGAATAAGCTTTGAAATCTCTTGGGCTTCCTTTTTCTTTTTTTAATGTTGAGCCCAATACAAAACTGGGGCAATGTTCATTTTTTTATGCAAAAAATCATTAATGCCTTACATAATAAATCATTGAATAATCCCTCGTCTAGTTTGGAAAAACGGAGCATACTACTTCAAAAGAAAAATAGTCAAGAACATGTGGAATCGTTAAGACCCAGTCAAAATTAATAAAGGGAATAGATCAAAGGTAACATAAATCAATCTTTATTTATTTTTATTTCTAAAAAAATTTAAATATTTTTTTAGTTACAATTTTACTTATAAACCTTTACCCACTAAATATCATGAAAGTAAGACTTTTTTTTTTTAATACCATATGAAGGAAGACTTCAACAGTAGCCAAATATGAAACAAAATGGTGTGGGTATGTATGAAAACTATAATATAAATTTAGAAAAAATCCCAAAAATATATCTTTTGAATTTTAAAATTTCAAATCAGGAACTAGTTACTATTTGCTAATTTGCTTTTCAAGTGTAGTTAATTATTGTTAGAGTACAGTAAACAAGATTGATTTGAAATTTTGAAATTCAAAAAGGTATTTTTTTTAAGGATTTTTTCATAAATTTAAGTTTAGAGAAAACATGTTATAAATATAGAAGAATTCTAAAAAAATATCTTTGAATTTTAAATTTTGAATTAGTTTTGTTTACTACATTTTAATAACAATTGATAATATTTAAAAAACAACACATTTTTATAATTATTTCTGGTTTAAAGTTTTAAAATTTTACAGATATTTTTTTAAAATTTTTTTATAAATAGTTTACATCAAATATTTAAATTTAAAATAATTTATAAAAATATGCACGACCGGACCGTTAAGCGGTTCCTCATACTCCGACTCTCCTAGAAGAGCGCGCGAAGAGGGATTATTCTATTGGGTAAGGGGAAATGCGGAGGGAAGTCGCAGGAAGTAGAAGAACCGAAATCGAAGAGAAAATGCTGAAATCGAAGGAAGAGGAAACCGAAATCGACGAGCTTCTTTTCTTTCCCTTCACCGTTCGGCCATGGGGTGCATGTTTGTCTATATATACATATATGCTTCTTATATAATGGAGTGTACTGGAAAATTTTTATTTGATTTTTAGTTTCCCACGACAGGAACGATGGATTCCCTCGTTTGATATTTGGCTTCTTATAACAGGGAGCGTAGTGGAAATATTTCGAAGGGTTATAGTGCCTCATTGTGTGATGGAATGGTTCGATGACCTTTAGTGTTGGATAAAGCACTGGGTTTCACCGCTGTGGCCATCCCAGTGCATTATCAGACTAGTAATTATGCTTGTTGCTGACGCCTTCTGATGGTGGGATATGATGATAAGGTTTCTAATGTTTTTGTTTGGGTAGATAATGTGTATTGGATTAGTTTCAAACAAATCATTCCATGATGGTAATGGATTGATGTTGGTACGGATGATTTTTTTCTTCTTTAGTTTTAATTGACTGTTATAAGAGGTTAATGCCAATGATGGCGAAAATTTGAATTTTTGTAACTGCTAGAATATCATTAAATAATTTGACCGTTTAATGATAAATTTCAACAGTAATAACTAATGAGTATCCTTTTAAATAGAGAAGTGTATTGTCAATTTCATTAGGTCAAGGTTGGGATCTTGAACTGATATCCTTACTCTTTTCTGCAAGTGATGGCCCAAATTTGCAACAAAAAGCCAGAGGAGGTACAGCCACACCCAGTGAAGGAGCAATTGCCTGGAGTTCAATATTGCATAAACAGTCCTCCTCCATGGCGTCCGTAGACACTTTTTTTTTCTCTTTAATTTCTTTCTCTTCTATTGGATCATTAACACCATCTTTGACACTAGAAAAAAAATCAGTACTACCATATTCTTAATGATGTGTATTGTATTATTATTTACTTTTCTGAATTTGAACAATTCATCCCTATGCAGCTGAAGCTGTAGTATTGGGGTTCCAGCATTACTTTCTGACCCTTGGCATGACCGTTCTAATTCCAACCATAGTTGTTCCTCAAATGGGTGGAGGCAATGTAAGCACCTGTTCATTTTCGCACCCTTTTTCTTCAAATGTACCTTCACTTCGTCACTCAAAATTTAAATTCTACTAGGCTGAAAAGGCAAGGGTGATACAAAGCCTATTGTTTGTTTCTGGACTGGGCACGATTCTTCAATCTATGTTTGGAACCCGACTTCCAACTGTAGTAGTTGGTTCATACACTTACTTGATACCCACAATCTCAATTATTCGGAACGGCAGATATAGTTCATATTCAGATCCGATTGAGGTCAGTTTGAGTCAGAAAATTTGCTACTTTTCTTTTCTGTTATTGATTTTCTTACTTGAACTATATGGTGGCTTTTTTCAGAGGTTCACTCAAACAATTCGAGGAATACAAGGTGCCTTGATCATAAGTGCATGCTTCCAGATGATCATGGGGTTCATGGGCTTTTGGAGAAATACTGTCAGGTAAAGAAGTACTGTAGCTTTAATCAAATTTATTATGTTAATTATTACATTGGTTTGGCGTCTGATGTATCTCTATACTGGTGTAGGTTCTTGAGCCCACTTTCTGTTGTTCCTTATGTAACGTTCACTGGACTTGGTCTATATAGTCTTGGTTTTCCAATGGTAAATGTCAATACATTTGTTAGTTATTTCACTTCTCAGTTTAGTGATTTGCGCTATAGCCTCTTACTTCTTTTGCCATGTTTATTTCCTCTCCTCTCCTGCAGCTGGCAAAATGCATTGAAATTGGGCTTCCAGCGCTGATTGTTATGGTTTTCATCTCACAGGCACGCAAGTCGTTTATATTGTTGTTTGGTTGTTGGGGGTGGTGGGGGGTTTTATAGGTTTGAATTATTATTAAATTTTTTGTTAAATTTAATATAATAAGAAATGTACGAATATTATAAAAGTTAGACGTAAATGTGAATAAAATATTAAAGAAGCATAATAAAATAATATAAATATATGCATATATATAAGAATGATCATAATAATAACACACACACACATATAAGAATGATAAAATGTTATGAGGCATGATATTCATTCATTAGTTCTTAGTTGGATAGAATTATTCAAGGATAATTTTTATAATAAAATAGTAAAATTTATTATGATCTTTTTCTTAATATAGGTAGGGACATTTATTGCCTGTAATTCATTTTTTATCTATTAGAAAATTTTATTTTGTACAATAAGTGGAGAGTATGATTTAAAATTTTTGAAAGAGTAAGAAATAAAAAGTGTAAGCTATATTTCAAGGAAAAAACACCACTATATGCATACATTTGATGGCTAACACTAGATAATTTCATTTGTGCCATGCTTGAAGTTCACAGAAAGGAGTGGAAAAATGAGTAATGATAAAACATACCTATTCTTCTGCAGTATCTTAATCGTTACTTGGCTATTGAGAGGCCTATATGTGATAGATTTGCGGTCTTGTTTTCGGCTGCAAGTGTATGGTTATATGCACAGCTTCTAACTTCAAGCACTGTGTATAATAACAAGCCTGAAGCTAGGCAGACTAGTTGCCGCACTGATCGTGCTGGTATTATTACTGCAGCTCCATGGTAAGATTATGTTCGCTTATATGATATTTGATTTTCTTTTCTTTTTGCCCAGTGCTCACTGATTTATGACTTTCCCGATTTCTGGTCAATGATTTGCTAGTTTGGATGGTAATAAATGTATGTTTATTCTTACCAAGGATATATATTCCTTACCCCTTCCAATGGGGAAGCCCTACTTTCAATGCGGGGGAAGCTTTTGCAATGATGGCTGCATCATTTGTTTCTCTTTTTGAGGTAACTAGCTCTCTTTAATGAGATTAACATATCTTTCAAATTTTAAGTCTGCTTCAAATTTTAATTTGCTTTGTTTGGCAGTCAACCGGTACCTTCTATGCTGCAGCAAGATATGGAAGTGCCACCCCGGTGCCGCCTTCTGTTATTGGTCGTGGAGCAGGATGGATGGTTGTAGTTATTATATTTTAATCTATTTTTTTTCTGGACTTGTATTGTTACATTGAACTCATTACGACTCATGTCTCTATTATTTTGATCATAGGGAGTGAGTGTTTTGCTCAATGGAATGTTTGGTTCTGTAACCGGGAGTACGGCATCAGTGTAAGTTTCTTATGAAATCCATGATTTTGACAAATGTTGCTTTCATTAAACTTTGTGAAGAATTAAATATGCAATATCTACTGTTCAAATGATGGTTTCTGATGTTGCTCTTGACCAAGTGAGATATTGTTGACATTAACTAATTAGCACCCCTTTGTTATGTTTTTTCCTTCCCTTTCAGGGAAAATGCTGGTTTATTAGCTCTGACTAGGGTGGGGAGTCGAAGAGTCATTCAAATATCTGCTGGCTTTATGATTTTGTTTTCTGTATTTGGTATGCTATGGCGAGTCTGTTCTCCTTTACTTTCACTTCCATGGTATTTTATTATCAAATTTGAGCCTTATTGATTCACTCTTACGTTCCTCATTTCACAAGAAGCACAACAAAGTATATTCTATTTTAAGCAATATGTTCCATTTCACTCAACAATTTCATTTTCAGATGACTGCACTATGTAAAGCTTCTACAGTTTAATAGTATTCCATATAATTATGAATATCTCATATATGTGGTATATTCTGGTTGACCAGGTAAATTTGGAGCAGTTTTTGCATCTATACCTCTGCCAATCATGGCTGCATTTTACTGTGTATTGTTTGGTTATGCCTGTAAGTAACAATCTGTATTGCTCATCTCAGCGTGTTCACAATTCATATAGACCTTAACATGAAGCTTATTATAACTTTCTGACACATGCAGCTTCTGCTGGTCTTGGTTTTCTTCAGTTCTGTAATCTGAACAGTTTCCGAACCAAATTCATATTGGGATTGTCATTGTTCCTGGGAATCTCCATACCGCAATATTTCCGGGAGTATTATCATGGAAAGCATGAACAAGCAGATTCCAGATGGGTGAGAAATCTTAGTGCATTTGTAGAAAATTTCATTGAACCACGTTTACTTTGTTGATCTGAATGACTGTATGCGCGCGCGCTTGCAGTTGAATGATATAGTGATGGTGATCTTCATGTCCCATTCAACTGTGGCTGCCATGGTTGGTTTCATTCTGGACATCACACTTTCCCGGGAAAATGATGCAGCCCGGAAAGACAGTGGCTTGCAGTGGTGGGAGAAGTTCAGCTTATATAATGCTGATGTTAGGAATAATGAGTTCTATGCTCTACCATGCAGACTTGATGAGCTCTTTCCAGCGGTTTGAATTTCATCACTCTGGTTCTTGGTAGTCATCAAATTAATTAGAGAGATGGTGAGAATAAGCGGATATGCTTGAACTGAGGAACTGTTTGGACCCTTGATGGCTGATGCTGCCCCATTTATTTGTGTTTCTTGTCAGTTCTGATGTATTTCAAGTTTAGGACCAAATAAAATGACGGTAAATTGTTCTTTCTTTGTTCTGGAAATGTTGTAAATTTTTCAATTTATTCCTCCAAAGCGTACGTTCTCTGAATTTTATCTCCCAATCATATTAGGGACAAAACTTATGCCTTATTTAATTTTATATATTAAGTGTTTGTTTGGATTAGTGATGAACAACTGTGATTTTATATGATCGTAATTTTTATAAGTGACATTAGTTAAAAGTGATGTTGGTTAATCGTGATTTCTGTTTTGATACTTTTTCTTATAAGTGACATTGAGAATGTGAATTATATTTAGATTTCATTTATTAAAATCACTTATAAATATATAATTACCAAAAAGCAATAAAGTTAGATAAGAGAAATATAATTTAATATAATTACTTATTATTATTTAAATATAATTATAATTTAATGATTATTATTAATAAAGGTAGATGGGAGATATCTTAGTTGTTGAATGAACTTCTATCATGATTTTCCAATTGCAAAAGCTATTTCTAATAGCTTATGCTTAAACATGCAATCAATCAATCAATATAACTTTCAGGCCAAAAAAATAATCTTTTTTTGGCTTGCATCTGTTGGCCCTCACGGATGCGAAGGGAGGCACCCGTGTTGCCGCTCGCCTTGCCCTTCAATCCATCCACCCATTGGTTCTGGCATTGCGATTCGGGCATCATTAATGTATGGTAGGGATGACACGTAAGACCGAAAAGGCCCTTCCTCGGGGGCTACCATACTTGTGGATTGACTTCCTCACAATTCTCCATGCATGTACTATTAGGAAAAGCAACGGTCGATTGTCTTTGATGCAACCCTTTTATCACCCTGAAAGTCATAGACGCATTTGATTTGGAGCCTTTCTTCAACTGATGGCTTGGTTGCCCAGTGTCTGGGAAATCCTCCACAGCGTCGTGCGCGATCCCTTTTCAACCTAGGCAGGGATAGGTATGTTTGACTTATTAGACTTCCTCCGTCTACTATTTGTGTCCCGTCACAAGTTGATTTTGAGCTTTGTTTGGTTCTTTCTAGTAGAGGCAGCAATGAAAGAGACGACTCATTTGTTCACAGTTCTCCTTGCATTTACTTGGAAGTAAAGAAGGGCTAAATTTATTCATTCTTTTGCTCATGCTGAAGGCCCCAAATTTATGCCATATATATTCCCTCGACGATTGGTTGCTGCAATTTCAATAGTTGTCTTAAGGAGATTTTTTTCAAAAAAAAAATATTGCTTCAGTATACTGTCTCCACTTCCCAATTTGTGAATTTTGCTTTGTTTTCATTATGAATGTTAGACTGATGAGTGCTTGGATGGCGGTTCTGCAAGTACGGTTGCCTGTGTCCCTTTATTTTAGTGTGGCTTCGTGGGTAAATTAGAATCAATATGATCGTTATTCTATTTATTAATAATTGATGACGGATCATAAGGACCTGCCATTTTTATTATTAATGAATTTGTTCCCCGATACCTTCTGATATTTCATCCTATTGATTTGTCATAGTCATTTCTTTTTGTAACTGTCTATTATGGTGGGTTCAAATATGAACAATGGATTTTCTAGGATACTTGATCTCAAGTGCGCCGCAATAATTCAGAGCTTCTAGCATAGATGTGCATTATATTAATTTGTTCTGTCATACTATTTTCTTATATCTTTTTTTTTTTAGCATGAATCTTTGCGCTTACAAAGTAAATAATCATATTATTTCTTTTTTTTTTTTAGCTGGGAATTTATTTCACTGCCTACGTAGACCGAATTGTGTTGTGCTATAGCAGGTTAAAATGGAGTGGGTCAACGGTATAAATTTATTTTCCACTAGTTATACATGTCTATGTATTTTCTTTTTAATAGTGGCTACGCCATTTTTTTGGGAGCTTTTGTAATATTACCACGCATTAATCTGTTCACGATGAATATCAGGTGGAAGCATGTTTGTCACAAGAAAGATTCTAAAGGGGCATCCACATCATCTTTTCTTGATTTTAGATCATTTTTTTTTTTTAGTTACTGTCTGTTGTCCATAATAAGGCTCCTTTGTCAATGCCTTTTGTGATTGGAAATGCATTGCGACAACTTACTTCATCTAATATAACTGAATTTTTATTATTGAGTTTCTCCCTTTTAGATTACTTTGGTTATAAAATCAGAATTGAAATAATGTATTTCTATATTATTTCAGAATCACGTCCGATGCCGATGATCTCAAAATACTCCTCCGGTCCTAATTATAAGACCCAATTGACTTATTTGAGGAGATTAAGGAAGTAAGTTAAGTTGGTTATTTATAATAAATAAGTGTTGTTATTCCTAAAATATCCTTGCTAATTAAGTATATTGGCTAAAACTATCATTATTAGAAGGATTATCTTGGAAAAAAATGCATAAATATAATAGAGAAAATGGATTGGGTCTTATAATTAGGACCAAATAAAAAGTCAAATTGGGTTTTATAATAAGGATCGGAGGAGTATCATGCATTGACTGTGGATTATAAAATTGCACATCTGTTGTTGAGTTTGCTAGGATTATAAACGTTTCTCTCAGTATTATTGTATTTGAATTTCCAAGGGACCCAATAGTTAATCACCATGTTCATAATTGTTTTCAAAATTTAAAAATTCATCTTGATGCATAAAGAGGACTCATCATCATTTAACTTTAATCCTCGAAATTTAAAAATGATCTTAAAAAAGCCTATTTTGAAACATGAAGAGATTGCAAATCATTTTAAGAAATAGCTCAAACAATTATTTAATTACTTACACCCTTTTCAATGTTTTGAAAAACGAAATGACTGCAAATCACTTTGTAAAATAATTCAAAAAGCTATATGAATGTATAGACTTGCACCCTTATCAATATTTTGGAAAACAAAGAGACTGTGAATCATTTTGTAAAATCAATCAGAGAACTATTACCCCATTTTTTAACCAAATTATCACCCCGGATGATGGAATTGGATTGCGGAGAAATGTTTGCTTGGCACATCTAAGAGAGAACATGCACGGGTTCAAATTTGCTGGCACTGCCCTATAATACGCTTTGTTTTTCTATCAATTATTAATTATTAATAGTAATTATTAATGGATCAATAACTATTAAATGAATGTGAATGTAAATATTTATTTGTGGCAAATTAAGACTGGTAAATGTTTCATGTTTATTTATTTTATATTTCAAAGTATAAGGAGTTCTTATTCATTGAATAAGATTTACTTCTCTTGTTCTATCTATAAAACAATTTCAACATGTTTCACACAAATCAAAAAACTTTTTAAACTGTATTAATTCTCCATGAAATATAATAATTTTTTAACTTTACTCTTATTTAATATATACACGATTAAAAATAATAATTATTTATAATATAATAAATGAAGAACAAAAGAGTATTCACACTAAATTTAATTAAATGACTTGTAAATGGAATCAAGAAAATCCTTCTTCTTCTACTTATAGACTAGGTGAGCATGTTATAAGCGGTACCTTAAAGTTGATGGGATTGAGAAAATCAATAGATATCATTATATAAATGAATGTCCAATAATGTGCGTTATTTATATATTTTCTATTTTCTATTCTCAAATACGGTGAGTTCTTATCAATTGATGTAGGGAATATGATTCATACTCATCTAAGGGATGATGAGAAAGTTTCGCTTTAATTCTAATTCTAATTCATTTATAGAATGATTCTTAAATTTAAAATAAAAAAATTCTAGTATAATTTGTTGCAATGGGAGTAGTCCTATGTGAGAAAATAGTGTGAAGGATTATTTCACTAACTGAGGTATGGGTTTGCCTAATTGGTAAAATTTAACACTTCATCTTATCTTTATTATAAAGCACTTCCAACTAATTTGAACATACCAAGAAATAACAATTATTTAAGATCAAAATAATATTACAAATGATATCTTATTTCTATCTAACTTGAAGGCTCTGATACCACTCCGGGAGTGTTAGCTAAAACAAGCCAACCTAACATCGTCTGATACCCAAAACTCCAGTCTAGGTAGGGCCACTCATTCTCACTCATCAACGAGCCATGTTAGAATTCTCGTCTTTGAATATCATATCTAAGAAAACTCAAAAAGTCATCACTAAACACACCTTAATGAATCGTGATCAAATTCTATTTCTGATATACAGAATCCTCTTAAAGAGACAAGTATAGAGGGTGACAAAGTGAAAATTTTGGTTTCTTAAGTCACACAAATGGTGGTATGTGGACAAGGCTGAAAAGGCTTAATCTTACTTCCCCATCTAGCTACTCTAGATTGGGGGGTAGGTCCTGGTGAGGAAGTTATAGACACCTTTCCATACTGAGTCTGGAGTGCTTCACTTAATTTTCTCTGCAATATTGGGCTTTTAAAGTTCTTCTAGGGTGTTGAATAAATATTGGTGGCAAAATAACTTGTTCAAGAGATAATTATCTCACAGTAATTAACAATGTTATATGTCAACATTATATAGGATTATGCTAATCTCAAATTTATTTAATTTATGGTATGGTTTTCTTTTTTATACCAAAAAAGTATTGGCATTTGATGCCATTCTTATATTGAAATCCACTATAAAACAAAACGTCTATCTATTTTGAAAAATACACTTAATAATGTGTATTTTAAATTTAAATCTTAATGAATCAACTATTAGTGACTAATAAAATTCTTGACGAAAACACGTACGTAATAATGGAAGCCAAGGCCAAAACCGTGCTTTGAAAATAATTCTGAACTATTTGGATGAAAAAGTTAAGAGTAAGCAAGGGAAAAAAAAAAGATGAAGAGTCAATAGAATTCTTATACAGGAAAAATTATATTCTTTAAAATACATAGCAATAAATAAATTTTATAGGAGGCGGAAATGAAA